AAATTTATATTTTTGTAAGATATTATTTATTTTAATTTTTTTAATTTTATAATTTTATTTCATAAAAAATATTTTATAAAAAAAAATAATGTAAATTTATATATTTTAAGATCGACTCTAACATACAATCGATATAATATTAATGACTTCTCTCGTGACACGTAACAATACCGCATGTCATGCACACAATAGAAAGTGAAGGATATGGGGGAGGGGGCGAGGGAAATATTCTAGTTGATCAGTGGGCCTCCAAGCATGTGGATTACTACGAATGTTCAATAGCAGAGATAGAAGCTCCAAAATATTCAATGTATCATCCTTTGGCTCAAGTGGGACACAAAACTGGTATAAATACCCTTTCCTACCCTCTCTTCTTCCACAGGTCATTCATCCAAGGGAAAACACAAAAGTTTCAACTATCATCAATAAACAAAATGGAGTCAGCAGAAAACCTACGGTATTCTCTCTTCCATTACTCGCTCACACACACACATACACACACACAAGCATGTGCACACATCAACAAATACAATGAACTTTGAAGATTAATGTTATACACACATGTTAATTAATGATTCTAATGCAAAATTAACCAATGGATTGTTGCAAGCTGCAGGAACAAATGCGCAGCATGCTTCAGACAGTTCAATAGAATGGAGCACCTGGTTGACCACATGAGATCTGCATATCATTCAGTTCATGAACCTACCTGTGGTGTTTGTAAGAAACACTGCAGGTCGTTTGAATCTCTAAGGGAACATCTTATAGGTAAGTGTAACAAATTAATACTAGCACATTATTCATTTATGGCCTGTTGATCAAAAGATTATATATTTTTGTTCTTTCTTGAGGACGGACTCTTGACTCTTGAGTACTGTATATATATATATATATATATATATATAATTTCTTCCTAATAGGTCCGTTGCCGAAACAAGAATGCAAGAATTTGTTCAACACCCGAGGATGCAAATTCTGCTTAGCCATTCTGGATAGCCCTTATGCTCTTAGGATTCATCAAGAAAGATGCCAGCTCTCCGGAGTAAATTATGTATTAACCTTTAGCTTGAAAAACTACATACTTCAACAATAACTCCTTCCCCATCCTCAAATTAATTGAGTTTAAAATGTACTTGTACTTGATTTTTTATCATAGGGAATACTGGCTCGCCTGGCTAACTTGGGTCTTCATGATAGCTTGACTATCGACAGTGGTTTTTCAAGAGGCCCGCAAGTAGTTGCACTGACATGCAAAATGGTTGGTGGTGGCAGTGATGGCTCATTAGATATTTGTGCAAGGGTTTGCATCATTGATGAAAATGAGAATATGATCTTCCATACTTATGTCAAACCACCAATTCCTGTTACAAACTATAGGTACCGTGATAAGACTGTCAATTGGCATGTTCTAGCAATTCCAACAGATGAAACAAAATAAACCAACTCACATTTTTGAACTACTTTCAGGTATGAAACCACTGGCATTCGACCAGAATATTTGAGAGATGCAATGCCATTGAGACAAGTGCAAAGAAGGATTCAAGACTTCCTTTGCAATGGAGAGCCAATGGGGAAAATTCGATCACTTAAAGGTGGAAAAGCTAGGATTCTAGTGGGTCATGGTCTTGATCATGACCTTGACCGTCTGCAAGTAGAATATCCAGCAATTATGATAAGGTAAAGTTTAAGGATGCTTAGCATACATTCAAAAGGAATACAGGTGAAGCTGCATTATTTGTAGCTTAAAACTTTAAATTGCACATTCATCTTTTTTCTGCTCATATATTCTACTTCTAGAAGCAGGATTAAATTTTTAAAGCATATAGCTCAGTGATGAAATTCATTAGGAAAATACAATATGATATGAGTTCATTTTACTACAGGGATACCTCAAAATATCCTCCATTAATGAAAACAAGCAAACTCAGCAACTCACTCAAGTACTTAACCCAAGCGTACCTGGGGTAAGTATCTATAGACCATATATTTTTCCTCCCTATGATCATATCCATTATTGATAATTGTTGAACAGACTGATGCAACTTCCATGTTCAGGTATGACATCCAAACTGGCATTCAAGACCCTTATGTGGACTGTGTTGCAACAATGAGGCTTTACCTGAGGATGAGGAACCAAGTTCATAGGAGAGAGGACTATCCTCTGGCTTCTGACCCTCAAAATCGAAACAACTTCGCTCCATGGAGGCAAAGTGAACTTGAGAGGATGTCCCCAGAAGAAATGCTGGCTATCTCAAGATCAGATTATTACTGTTGGTGCTTAGACTCTGCATGAACTCTGGACACCAGCATATCCAAGGAGAGTATATATATATATAAGACTTTCCAGCTTTTCTTCCCATGACTTGTAGTAGCAATAAGAGGGAAAGTATTTGTTATTTCCTTACTGTTCTAGTTGTTAATTTGTACCAGTAAGCAAAATTCATGGAGCATGTCTGCATCGGTATGTTATGCACTAATGTAAACGTCTAAAAAAAAGGCATTATATGACTATTCTAGGACTATCTCCTTTGTTGGGAACATATTTGTGAATGCCTCATCTAGCTAAGACATCTACACCTCTTACCTTGTTGTGCTCTTTGTTTTTCAAGATGATGATATATCTCCTTCGGTTTCAATTATATCATCACCTTGCCATATTCTGCTGTTATTATGCTTAACCCCCTACTAATCTATATTTTAGCTTGTTGATCTTCAATCCTTATCATATTGTAAAACCTGGAAGAAAGCCATAATAATCCATTATCAAGAAGCTGAGCAAATTTGAAATATTGGTAGAAGTAGTGCTTATGACACTGTAAAAGCTTCCACAAACACAAATACAAACTCAACACCTATAAACAGACTTACTATGAAATATATGTGAATCATCATAATTCATAACAACATTTCTATTCTCTAAATTTTCCAGTGCTTGCCTGCAAAACATCATGGCATTGTTAGTGATTGAAGTTTTTGGCTTGATTAAGTTGGAGTTCCAAATTCGAAGCTATGGAAAATTTTCATGATCAATGGAGTTTGATATTGACCAAGTATGTGGCACCATCTTGGCCTCATGGTTAAAATGGATTCCCTTTTAAGGGCCACACACAAGATCCTAATTAGCCTTCGTTGTCTTGTTCTAGAATCAGATGTTCAGTAATTGAAACTCAGTTCTCCTTCAGTTTGAATCTTGGTCTACTCTATGAAATACAGATGCTAATATAATGTTGAAAACAGTACCATGTTCCTAGTATTATACCTAGGAGGGATCAAGGATATTTGGTAATTAATCAAGCACCCTTGTGGAAATGTTATTGTACATGAAAATCAAGTTAACATTGGCTGTATCTAAGCCGCATCAATACATGGATATCATGAATGGGCAGGATTAATACAGATCCATCAAGAGAGAATAACATAAAAATATTCTGACTTAATCACTGGCTAGAAGGATGAACTTGAAGCAAGAACTGGACTGCCCTATGCCTTTTGAGGATTTCATTTACTTTAAAGTCCAACCCTAACTAAAGGTTTGTTCCTACCTTTAGAGGATTTCATTCACTTTAAAATCTAATCCCAACTAAAGGTTTGTTCTTGCCTTTTGAGGATTTCATTTACTTTAAAATCGAACCCAAACTAAAGCGTGATGCCTAGCTCAATGCATCCACGTAGCTATTCTTAAGAAGTAGCATCTAGTAGGTTTGGGATCAAATCCTACTACCTGCGACCTTTTTCCCTATCCTAGACTGTAGTTATTGTATACATAAAAAGGAAAAAAAGTCCAACCCGAACCAAAAGTTTGTTCTTGCTTCTTGGAGAAAAGAAATTTCAAGGGATAATTGATCTGATTTTGATGATTCCAAAATTAAGCCTGAACTCTCTTTTAATCTTTCAGGGTAGTTGTTTAGTTAGACTTGAATCAGTTTCAACTTGCAAGGAAAACTAGGAATCATAAATTAAACACTATGGATCAACAATAAGGAAGAGAAAAACAAGAAGGGAAAGAAGAAAGGTAACAAGGAATCCAAGATGCTTACATCAAGATAGCGTCTGTAAAGTAGCTAGAAATTCTGATCACCTAACAGGCGAAAAACTCGGTATACGCACTGATCAACAACTGCATGATACAACTATGATCCATTGATATAAAGAGTTCTACGCCCGTTCTTCCCCATAATAGATATGATCACTGTTTGATCATCATAGAAGCTGCAGGAATGATCATGGTGAAGCTGATAATTAGAATATCATTACCTGTAGCTCCAAAAAGTTGACCCTGAACGAGAAGGGTTACCGCCTGGCGAGTGCAAACCTCTTAGAAGACTATAGCTAGTTGCTATAGATTCCAATTCCTCCTGACAAAAATGTGAAGATGCATATATGGGGCTTAAATTCAACTACAAAGCAGAAGCAACTAAGTGTTTCTTTGACTCTTCTACCTGCTTGACATATCTTTTCCTGTACACACGTACACCAGGATATAAGTGATCATTGATCCCAATCTCTCTTTTGGCCATATGGAGCAAAAGTTCTCCTTATTTGAATTTTGTTTTTCATCCAGCATTCACTAATTTTGTTAATAATAAGCTGATATGATCAATAAACAATCAATAATATCATTAGGCATGATATATTTTATATTAGTCAATGGTGTAAAATGCTTAATAAAAACAACGTTTAATATTTAATCATAAAATTTCTTTTCCGTAGGTATCAAATTGTTAAAAATAGTATAATTCATAGGTCAAATTACATACTAAACCTTTAATTTTCAATTTTGAATTTTAACCGGTTATATTAATATATACGTTTATTGAAGCCATTTAGATAAGTGTAACCCAAACAACTTTGCCTTAAGGCTTAAGCCAAGAACCCTAGAGCCCTTAATATCAACGGCAAGCTCCTGCTAACAACAATCCAATACCTTCAATTCATCGATCAGCCGACTCAAACTAATTTCTCCACAAAGAAAGATTTCAGAGGAGATTAGAGTAACAATAATGGAGACAACAGCAACAACTCACGTTCTGGAGATCAACTTGACATCCGCACAAGGGCTTATAGAGCCATCATCAGTTATATCCCATCGTCACATGAAAACCTATGCTGTTGCTTGGGTTGATTCATCCACCAAGCTTCATACTCGAGTTGATCGTGTCGGTGGCCAAAACCCAACCTGGAACGATAAGTTTCTCTTTGAAGTTTCACCCCAGTTCCTTTTCAGCAAAACTTCGGTTCTCTCTATTGAGGTTTATGCTGTTGGTTTCTTCCGAGATAGGCTTGTTGGAAGCATTCGTATTCTTATCGGCAACTTACTTTTAATCGCTTCGGCTGCTGCGATGAAGACCCCTTCTTTTGCTGTATACTTAATCCGCTGCCCTTCTAGTTCTGGGGGATTCTTTGGAACCCTTAACATTGGAGGAATGGTTTTTGATGCTTCTGTTCGTTTCCAGGCCTTAAGTAAAGTCTCTGCTATCGATTATCATGGTCTTATAGGAGAGAATCTTGATTGCAAGAATCAACCGAGAACAAACAAGTCTAAGGCTCCAGTTAAGCATATTATGGAGTACATTTCTATTGATTCTGGCGATCAATCGGAAGCTGGTGATTCCTTAACTTCCTCATCATCACCACCACATACGGTCTTGATCAGGGAGTTAAGCTTGAAAGGAAGGAACGAAGATCATGGAGTTGTAACTCTAGAAAACGAAGCTTAATTTGAAGAAGATAAAGAAGAAATCTGTAGTGTTTGCATGGAGTAACCTCAGGCAACCGACCTGGTGCCTTATGAAATTGCTGAAGAGGTGATTTCTGATAATGAAGAAAGTGTGGTTAAATTGGAAAAAGACGTTAAGATGATCATGGATAAGAACAAGAAGCTAAGGGAGATGGTTGAGATGCTCATGGTAGAAACAAAGGGGCAATCAACAGTTATATCAGACCTGACTGCAAGAGTGAAAAGCCTGGAGAGGAAGTTGTCTAGGAAGAACAAACAGAGTAAGCCACATTATGGGAGATCAGCATCTGCACTGAAGTCCTAGGATGCAGCAGAAGGAAAAGAATCTGTATAAGATCGGAGTCACCTTTGTCCTAGGATGCAGCAGAAGGAAATCATTTGTATAAGATCAGAGTCTAGACATATATATCTTTTGCTCGTTGTTTCTATCTATACTTTAAGCTTTTAATTCGTTTGCATTTTGCAATACCATTCATTGTAGATACCGTATGGCTTTCCATATATGTCTAATTCTTTAGTTCATTACAATTGCTTCAGATTATGTTATTACAAGTTTTGGTGGGTAGTGAAGGATTATTGTCATGGAGAATGCTTCAGGTGTTTCTGTCCCTCTACATTGAAGGCTTGAGCTTATGGTCAACATGGAAAACCTGAAGAAGTTCTGAAACTGGACTCAAATATTGCAATACCCCAACTAAATGAAGACCAAGTTTTTATCAGGGTTGTTGCTGCAGGGCTTAATGGAATTCATATTTTTCTTTTTTTTTTTTTACAATTCTACCACTACGCAAATTAATTAATGCCATTTTAGTACATAATCTACTAAGCAATTACTGGAGTTTCATAAATATGGAATTACAATCCATGAAAAAAAATATTAATGGAGATTATTGTGTTTCAGAAAATAAATGTCCTATTGCTTCATGTTTGTGTGTCGATAACAAGATCAGTAAACAAGAACCACTAATTGGTAGGATACTCCGGAACGATCATCAATCATCAATAGACTTTGTTGGGTTTCAACTTCTTAAATTTTGCTTTCCCAATTAAACAACTGTACAATTTGATGAGGTAATTATACACTCAAAACATAATTTTCGTTTCTTATTTATTCAAGTGGGAAACAAATATGTTTGAGTTCCTATTATTAATGTAATTTGTAAAGGTATAATAAAACATATAATTTCAATCTTATAGATTAAAAATAATTTTTTTTACTTTGAAAAAATTGAATTATTTTATATCAAGAGGATAATAATATTACTTGTAACTATATAATTTTTTTATATACAAATCAAATATAATATAAAATAATTATCATCTTATCTTATTAATTATATTATACACGATCTATATTAATAAAGTTATTATTTGATATCTTAATTTGGTGTCATATTAATAATTAGATAAATTTGATAAAAAAATCAATTAAAATATCTAACTATCATCTTCATTTGACTTTTTTGACGTTTTATCTTTTCTAAATTAAGTAAATTTGGCGATAAAAAAATCGATTTATAGAGATAACAAACAATATAAACGGAAAGGGAGTAAATGAGAATGGTGTGTTTCATTAATACTAGATGGAAAGAGAAAGGAAGTGGAAAATTGAATTTGGGTAACTAATAAAACTATTCAAAACTTTGCTGTTGAGTACTGCCATTTTTGCTTTATGAATGATGTGACAAATTTGGAACGATTACAAGGTGGTGTGAATCATGGATTATTATATTCTCATCACACTTACCATGATGAGTTGGTGAATTAAAATTTTCTTATGTAGCTTTCTTATTCTTGACAAAGTGACTCGCTGATTGTTTGAAGCACATCTTTCACGTCAACCAAAAATGTGATTCTTGCCATTGGAATTGAAAAAAAAAAAAAAAAAAAGGCTGTCCAACTGGCCTTGTCGGTGTCGGATAGAGTTTTTTATTTCATAGATTCTTTTCATGGATCAGGGATGTTGCTCGTATCGGCCTTTCAGCTGATGGCAAGGATTTTACATGAGAAAGAAAGCATTTAAGAGTAAAGAGAGGCGACATTTTTTATTTTTGTATTCCAGACACTCAAATTAAAAATCAATTAAAAAAAAATAAAGAAATTAAATTTATTAGATAATACATAGATGACTATTTATAAGAAGCGTGTCTGTGTGAAGTAAAATAATAACTAAATCAAATTGATATGATATTAAATATATTAAATTGATTCAAAAATTAAAAATATTTTTAATTATTTACTCATAATCTCTAATAAAAAAATTAATTTACCTTTTAAATAAAAAAAATACCCTTAAAAGTTATTACGAAATCTTAACAAGCTAACAACAATCACAAAATTCTTGTTAATTCATAACAAATAAATAGATATTGTTTTAAACATTTCAATTAGATGATATCTCACACAAAAACTGAAATCTTTATTTCTTATCATCCAACAGCACAACCTCCTAATAAACTCTTATACAATACAGTATCATAACCCACGACAACACAAACAGGAAATAAGACAGGGAGACTAAAGATGATACGTTGATTTATTATCTCATGGGATTGTAGAAATGACTACTTTTCCAGTAACCCTGCCAGTTTCAAGATATGCAAAGGCTTCCCGGGTTTGAGAAAACGAAAATATGCCTTTGGGATCAATTATTGGCTTAACCTTCCCACTCTCCAAGAATGGATTCAGTTTCTCCAAAACAGCCCCATTTGAAGTGAGAATGAATACAAAAGCTGGTGGAACCACACCACCAATTATTGTGACAACACGCCCGCCTTCTTTCACTGCCTTCACTGCCCTATCACATTGTCCTGTTTACACCCGTACACATTGTTACTTATATACATAGGAAGAAATTCAACTATGGTTCTAGAATCTTACCAACTGCATCATAAACGACATCGAATTTCTCTGGCAGATCTTCAAAGTTTTCCTTTGTGTAATCAATAGGCAAATCAGCACCCAAGCTCTTCAGCAAATCCAGTTTTCCTGTACTTGAGGTAGCTGCTATTTTGGATGCCCCGTAGACATGCTTAGCTAGCTGATCCAAGAGAAATGAACGTTAATAGAGATAAAATGAAGAATTCAAGTTCCTGATAATCAATAGAGCAGACAATAGTTTTTCTCAAAGAATCGGCAGGAGCCACCTGAATAATCATGGTGCCAACCCCACCAGCACCTCCCAGGACAAGGATTGATTTGCCAGCAGAAAACTCGCATCGTTCAAGGCCTTCATGGGCAGTCTCAATGGCTAAGGGCAGCCCTGCAGCTTCAATAAAACTGAGATTTTTCGGTTTGAAAGCCAACAGCTTCTCTTCAACAGCAGTGTATTCAGCTATGGTTCCAAGTTGTTTTGGGTGATCCAAGGCCTTCTCATTAATGTCTCCATATACTTCATCCCCTTCCTTGAATTTCTTTACTTGGCTTCCCACTTTCACCACCACACCAGCAACATCATAACCTGGAATAATCTGACAAAATCAAGAACAAAACCAAAAGAAATTTTAGGAAGAACAACATAGAAATTTTTTAATACTCCAGATGAGAATAACAAGACAAAAAGATTTGCAACATATTTTTGAAGCTCTTTTTCTTTTCTTATTTTTGAAGGAGATCATTTCATAAAACATTAGCATGATTATTTATTAAATCTTAGTTTTAGTAAACCATATTCTTCTTCCCCTAGCATGAAACCGCAAGAGCAAAAGCAAATTAAAGCAAAAGAAATAAAGATCGGAAAAGAAAGAGACTTACAGGTAAAGGAGAATCAATTTCTTTGAACATGCCAAGCATTCTCTTGAAATCAACTGGATTAATCCCAGCTGCTACAACTTTGACCAGAACCTGGTTATCATTCAGTGGGGGTACAACAACATCTGAGTCTAGTTTCAGAACATCAGATGATTTTCCATATTCAGAATAAGTCCAAGCTTTCATTTTAGATGGAAGAGTTTCAGTACTTGAAGCCATAAGAAATGAAAACAGGCTCTCTTTGATCAACTAGGAGATAAGGTTACCAGTTAGATTACTGCTAGTAGCTTTTTTTCTCACTTCAAATATCTTACTTTTGAGCAACATGCCAACAAGTATTTGGATACTTGTACTTCATTCGCCAAAAAAAAGCGGTTCCATTTATCCATTGAAAATAGGAAATGCATAGACTGATTTCTATCCAAGTTCAGATGGTAGGCCCCAAGATAAGGACTAATTGCAGTCTAAGAGACGTTGAAGATCAACCCAGGCCTTCTGGCAAATTGTGTAACGCTCTCACGTTAAAAGTATGTACGGATAAAAAAATATATGTAAAAATTTAAATTTATGAAATATTTTTTATAAAATAAAATTATTAAAATTTTAAATTAAAGTATATAATATATTGTAAGTTAGATACAAATTTTTATAAATAATATCAAAATGATCATTAATTGTAAATTATAAAAATTATTAATTATTATATGATGATTTGATATGATCTTAATTTTATGATTGAATTTAGTTGGATAAGAATATCAAATTTTAAAAGTGAAAAAATTATAATACATTTAATTTTATATTAAAAAAATATATAAATAAAAAATAATATATATGTAAAGATTTAAATTTAAATTTTTAAAATTTTTTTTTATAAAATAAAATTATGAAAATTTTAAATCAAAGTCGAATATAAATCTCTATAAATTGTAACTGCAAAATACATCTAGACTAATACTAATAGTCTAATACTATAACATTACATGTATTTTAATCATTAAATGGATTCATAAAAGTTTCGAACTTTTAAACCATGAAATTAAATCAGTCCATCTTCACCGACTAAACCCTTCAGTTGATATTATATTATTATTGTAGAAGTTGTTGAAGAACAACCTAGGCATCCTGGCAAATTGTAAGTCCAAAATACATCTCAGACAAATACTAGTACTAAGCAGTACATATGAATTAATCATTAAATGGATGCTTTTAAACCATTAAATTAAATCATTCCATCTTTACCACTTAAAACCCTTCATAGACTTGTAGCTGTGTCTTGTCATTGGACCTGCTGGGGGTAATTCATGTAGATGACACTTGTCAAGGCTTTATTGCATGTTGGTACGAAATAAGAGTAGTTGCTTTGTCACCACTATGTATGAGCAATAACCTTCACTAGATAGTTCATTAGGTGATACCTTGTTATCTGATCTAGAACCAAAAACTGACACATCTCTTTGTTTTTATGAATTTGAACAATGTGGTACAATCATGATTTCATTTGTGGGACTCATTTTTCATTAATATTTTATTTTTGTTTGTGGGACTCATTTATGTCATTTTTTTAAATTTTTTTCTTGTAAAAAATATTTTATTATATTTTTAAAATAACTAAGAGATATTTTTTTTAAGATTTTATTTTTTATGTGTGAAACCAATTATACCAAACTTTTTTTTATTGGTTTTTCTTATCTTTTTATCTCTTTTCCTTTTTAATTAAATAGGTAATAATATTTTTTAAATTATAAATATATATTTTTTAAAAATTTATTTATTTTTGTGTGAAATCTGCTTATACAAATTTTTTTTTTTACTTTTCTTATTTTACTCTTTTTAACTTTTTCCTTTTCAAAAAAATTAATAAAGATTTTTTTTTAGATTTTATTTTTTTGGACCCACTTGATACCAATATGTTTTGCTTTTTATTTTTATATATTTAATAAATATTATTTATTTTATTTTTTAGGCCTACTTGATATCAAGAGTATGCATCCTATTAAGTTATTTGACTCATTTTTTTTTACATTTTTCTTTTTATTTTTTTTAAAAAATATTTCTTCAATATGGGCCTATTTGATATGATTACTTAAAATATTTTTTTTTTATAAATTTGATAAATTTTAAAGAAAAAAATATTAGTAGAGCTATCAATATTACACTCAGATTTTATATTTTTTTTTTCAGTTTTTTAGTTTTTTAATTCATAATATAAAATTTTAAAAAAATATATTGCAAATGTTGCATGCTAACTCAATTTTCTTTTATCATTTTTACTTCTCGTCTTTATTTTTTCATATTTTCCTTTGTTTTGTAAATAAGATCATTTTTTGGAAAAAAATAAACGAATATGTATGTGTGGTACCCTTGTTTTTTTTTTAAAATATTTTTTAATTAATTAAATTTTTGTTTGATACCTTAATTTAAAAAATTAATATTTTAAATTCAATTCAAATGTTTATATAGTACACTTATAAATTCACTTCTTTTTTTTTGCCCTTTTGTAATGCATTTTTTTATTAAATTCATTTTGTTAAAAAAAATAAAATAATGGAGATATCTACATAATAATTCATTTGTCCTTTTTCTCTTTTGTTATTTTTATTTTTTATTTTTAATTAAATAAATTTTGTAACAAAATATGACTATTGATTAAGATGCCAAAAAATATGCATCTAACAAATTTCAATCTATTTCAATTCGATAAATTTTTTTTTTTTTAAATTGGAATCAAATTGGGATAGGTCAAATTTTTTATTCGATATTAACGTGAAAACATGTTTAATATATTTTGTCTTAACTCATTTTAAGGTACATATAAAAATACATATATTTTGTTATTAATTTAGTTGAATTTTTATTTATATATTATTATACTAATAAAATTATTAATTAACACTTTAATTTTAAAAATAAATATTTTAAATTTAATTAGGTTGTCCATGTGACACTTATATGAACTTTTTTTAAAAATTTTTTACCTTTTACAATTTTTTTATTTTAAATTTTTATTTTTTAATTATATATTTTGAAATAATATGAATTTAATTTAGATATACACGAGCCATCCTTATTTGGGGCTTTTTTTAATTTTTATCTTTTTTAATTAGATAATTTTTGAAAAATAAATAATGAATAAAAATGGTCAAGTTTTTATTAGTATATATTTTTAATTTTTTTAAAAATAAAATTATTATTTTAATCTAAATCCATTTAAATATATTAAAATCATGCTAAAATAAAATTAAAAAAATTAAATTTCAAAAATTGATAAAACAAATCGAACTAATGGAATTCGGTTAGAATTAGATTATATAAAACTCGATTTGGATTCAAATTAGATTTTTAAAATACATAATACTGAGTATTATCTAAAAAAATTAAATTAAATCCAATCGGATCTATTATTACACCTATATAAAAGTATATATTTTATTATTAATTTTATTTTATATATTATATTAATAAATTTATTATTTGATATATTAATTTAAGGAATTAATATTTTAAGCTTCATAAAGGTGTTACGTTAATACCTTCTATGAGATCTTTTTATTTTTTGATTTTTATCGTTTTTGCCCTTTTTACTCTTTTATTTTTTATTTTTTAATTAGATAAATTAAAAAAAACAATTAAAATATCTATCTATCTTCATTTGACTTTTTTGACATTTTATATATATTTTTTAATTAAGTAAATTTTGCAATAAAAAAATCGACTTATAGAGATAACAAACAATTTAAACGGAAAGGTGTGAATAAGAATGGTGTATTTCATTAATACTAGATGGAAAGACAAAGGAAGCGGAAATTTGAATTTGAGTACCTAATAAAACAATTCAAAACTTTGCTGCTGATTGCTGACAATTTTGCTTTATGAATGATGCGACAAATTGTGGAACAATTACAAGGTGATGTGAATCATGGATCAATAAATTCTCATCACACGTAACATGATGAGTTGGTGAATTAAATTTTTTTACGGAGTTTTCTTATTCTTGACAAAGTAGCACACCATTCACATTTATCAAAAATGTGATTTTTGTCATTGGAATTATGAATAGTATCGGGTAAGATTAAAGTAAGTTTTTTTTTTATTTCGAATTCAATCTAATTTTATAAATTTAATTTTTAAGTTTGATTTAATATTAAAATATTATTATTTTATATTCAAATTTGATTCATTATATTTAAATTTATAATTTATTCTATCTAAAATTAATAAAAAAATTAATTTTTAATATAAAAAATTATTTAATATTATTTTTTAAATATAAAATTAAATAAATATATAAATATAAAATTAAATAAATTAGATGTTTTAGGCCCATAGGGTTCCTCGATTGACGCCGAGAACAAGTCTAGTCTAGGTATCTTATCTCACCATAATCATCTTTATTCAAAAATCAACATTTCTAGTAATATTGTTGGTTTATTAAGACGACAATTCGTCCCCGGATTAGTCAATATTTTTTACAAATTTTCTTAAATTTTTTCAAATCTATTTTGGGAAGAAAATAAATTTTTCAAAACTTTTGAATCTTGAATTAAATCCTCCTAAAAAAAAATCTTGAAGTTAAAAAAATTATCTAATCATTTAAATTTTTATTGCAAAGTCTATAAATTATACGTCCTCTTATTGAATCATAAGTTTTAATAAATCAACTAAATATTGCTAGACATGTTGATTTTTGAATAAAGATGATTATGATGAGATAAGATACCTAGGCTAGACTTGTTCTCGGCGGAAATGGGGAATCCTATAAACCTAAACCATCTGATTTATATATTAAATTAATATATAAATATAAGATACATACGAGGACTAATTGCAGTCCAAGTTGTTGAGGAAGAACCTAAGCCTCCTAGCAAATTCCAACTTCAAAATACATCTAGATTAATACGAGTACTATAACATTACATATATTTTAATCATTAAATGGATTCATAATAATATCAAATACTTTTTTTTTAGCTCATAAGAAGTAAAGAAAGGAGATGACGAGATTAAAATTTATCTTCACATATTTTTTTTAAAAATTTCTTAACCATTTAATCAAGAGGTGAAAGACGTATCATAGACTTTTAAATCATGAAATTAAACCATTCCATCTTCACCAACTAAAACCCTTGGGTTGGTATTATATCATTGTAGACTAGTAGTTGTGTCTTGCCATGACCTGCTGGGGTTTAATTCATGCAGATGAGACCTGTCAAGGCTTTATTGCCTACTAGTAGAAAATGGGAGACGTTGCTTTGTCACCAGTCCATATGAGCAGTAACCTTCACTAGATAGTTCATTAGGTGAAACCTTATCATCTGATTTAGAACAGAAAAAGAAAAAAAAACTGACATATTTGTTTG